GCATCTCCCAAAACAATTTTTATTGATATTACATTACTCTACATGATCAAGTATTATCCTTGTCTCTTGTCTTTGTCATTCTGCAACTATACCTCAAATTTGGTTAGATCAATTTTCACCACTATATTATTGTGACTCTCCAAAACTATGTCCAACTCAGCCATGTAATAAACCACACTTTGTTTAAAGTTCTCCCCCATATACAACTTCGTAAATTATGAGCTGGAGTTTATAATTGCCTAGATCTGTGGAGCGTATAATGGTAGCCAAATGTGGCAATTTAAATTAAGTGAAAATGTCTGTCACACTAGCTACATTTCACACACTAGTCATATGTGGCTCTTGGCTATCATAATGGACAGCACAGATATTTAACATTTTCATCACCAGAGAAATCTGCATTATATGGCACTTTTATCGCCTCAGAGACAACCTAAGAAACCACACTATTAAAACAAAAATAGCTTTAAAAAATTTCCTTGAACCACTCACACAGGGATTCTAAACTTCCCCAAACAGTAGTGGAAAAAAAATTAAAAGAAGTGTCATATAATCTTGGTTTCAAAATAGCTAAACACAAAGTGTCTCAGATTAGGGTCCCATACATCATCACCAAAGAGCTAAAAGTTTATGCCCTTTTGTTCATTATCTTTTGATATTCCCTCTCCAACACTCACTCCTTGAAAGGAGTACAGAGATGAATTAATCATACGTTGCTCTAGAATGACTGCTATGACAGTGAATGACAGTGATCATCTGGCGTACTTTAAAATCTTTTTTTAATTTATTTATCATAGTCATGAGAGAGAGAGAGAGACAGAGACATGGGCAGAGGGAGAAGCAGGCTCCACGCACCGGGAGCCCGACGTGGAGATTCGATCCCGGGTCTCCAGGATCGCGCCCTGGGCCAAAGGCAGGTGCCAAACCGCTGCACCACCCAGGGATCCCTCATCTGGCATACTTTAAATTGCAATTATAATTGTCTGTCTTGAGTATTTTAAAGTTTTATGTTATTACCTTCACTTATCTTCTAAGCCTATGCTGTCCAATAGAGTGCCATGTGGCATTTTAAATTAATTTAAATAAAATTAAAATTCAGTTTCATTAGCTGCATTTCAAGTGCCCGCTAACCACATGTGGCTACCACTTAACATTTGGGACAGCACAGATAAAGATCATTCCATCATTTCAGAAAGTGCTATTGGACAGCACTGGTCTAGATTTTTCATTTGCTTCACTTTTCCTCATTTACCTCCAAGACCATAGCCAATTACATAAATCTCACTTCACAGTGCTCAGACTTATCAAGTGGTCTTCAGTTCCATCTTTATCTCCAGAAGCCTTCTGATCTGTTCCAACCAACCACGTTGCCTCTTGAGCCTTTTATACTTACTCCTTTCATGGGAGCATGTTTTCCTCTGACTTTCTGAGAAAGGTGCCTGGGAGATTAACTGTTTTATCTCTGTTTTATCCTCATGCTGATGGATGATTTGGTCATTAAATTCTAGGTTGGAAGCAAATTTTGTTCAAATATTTCTAGACATTGTTACATAATCCTCTTGCTTCTCAAGTTGCTTTGGAGAAGTCTAAACATTCCGGTTCTTGGAGTTTTTTCTTCTTTTTTCTCTCTGGAAATGTATAGTGTTTTCTCTTTGTCCTAAGGGTACTTTTTACAGTCACAAGAGGGGACATATAGGAAAAGTGGGCATTTACCCAGAATTCCGGAAACTTAGGTCCTTCAGTTCTGGGAATACTCCTTAATTGTTTAAATTTCTCCCCCATATACCCAGTCTTCTTTCTGTGATTTCTATTGCTTCAGATAATCAATCTCCTAGATTGGTTTTTTTAATTTTTTCCTTACTATTTTTCATCTTGTATTTTTGTTCTACTTTCAAAATGGGAGTTTGCCTTAAATTTACTTCCCAATCTTTCTACTGAACTTTAAAATTCACTAACATTTTTAATTTCTAAGGACTTCAGAATTTTTTTTATCGTATCCTATTTGAATTGAAGATTTTTTATCGATCCTGTCCCCTTGAGAATATTGATGGTAGTTCTTGCCACTGCCCCTCCTCTCAAGAATTAATTCTTCTGAGTGACTGCTTTGGTCTCTCCCATTCAGAGCTTTCTTTGGAGGTTTCAAAATTGAATTCACAGTTAAACATGAGATCCAAAAAGCTCCACAGGCTCTTGTGATTGTGAACTTGAATGAAGGGTGATCTGGATGCTCTCATTTAGTTGGGGATCCTCTGGTGTCAATTGCTCTCCTTCTCAGACGAGTCGGGTTCCCCAGAACAGTCTTGCCCATACTCCTGAACATTTAGGGGAATTTCAAGCAGATTGGCTCTTGGATTTTTCCTTGGCTCTTTTTAAGAGTTTTCTCAAAAAAAAAAAAAAAGAGTTTTCTCATCTCCAAAGATATAGCCCTGTGGTCTCCCACCTTTCAGCTTCTGTAATGTTATTGTACTGGTCTGTTCTTCTTTTCCTCCCTTTTCTTCTGAATATGAACATTTCAAATTTATCAGGACTTCTGCAGTCACTTCAGGGCTGCTTCCTCCTTGGGTTTCCCCCTCTATTCCAGCATGCTGACACAGAGGTATGGGGTCAGTTTTGGATGTAGAAGAGGGGGGCATGTTTGATCATCGACATGTCATCATACTGGCATCCATGGAAACTTATTCACCTGGTCCCTGAGAAATAGTCTGTAGATATGTCTGCAATCTTCTCACCCCAAACCTAGGTCTTCTCCAGCTTTGGAGGCTCTGGGTGTGTGAACAGACCTGATGAGGCAGTCTCAGACCTGTCCACCTAAGTAATCCATGCGGCTGGCTCTCCTCCTTCTCCCACAGCATGCTAAGCAGGAGACCATTTCCTTAGACTTGCTGCTCCCCAGATTGCACGTGGGAGGTAAGGCACGGACCTCTTTTCTTGGCTTCCCTAACCCAGCTGGAGTCATAGCTCTTCCACTGATGGGGAATTTATATCCCCTAGTCTCCTGGTGATGCATAAATACTAGGCCCTGAATTCTTTGGGGCTCAGGATTCTCCAGTTTCCAAGCTCAAGTTATGTTTTCTCAAAAGCCACTTTTCTAAAACCAAATTCTGCCAAGCGTTCTAGAAGCCCATGTATGAACTCAAAAGTAGAGAGTTTCATTTTTGTTCAGCTTTTTTAGATGATACTCTGAGACCCTGAAGGCTGAAGTCTCTAGCTGCAGCCTGGGTGGAGGGAGGAGGCAAGTCGTGAAGTAACCGCATCAATATTAAACCTGTATGATAAACGCTTTTGCTCTGTAAATTATCTGCTTCTCATGTAGCTAAGAGCTGCTTTTTCATCTTCATGTTCAGGTTGAGGGAAGAACTAAGAAAGTTTTTCGGGGACTCGTTTTCATTATCCTAAGCGTGTCCAGCATGCAAGAATCCCCTCACAGATTTGTTGAAAACCTTTAATTTTGTATCTTTATGGTATGTAACAGAGTAGAATATGATAATTACTTAAGTAACTGATAAATTGACTGACTGGATCTCCAAATAGTTCGAAAAGAGAAAATAAACACTGAAAATATTACCCTTATACAATTAAAATAATTATGCTAATTTTATTCCGTTTATAAAATTACCCTTCTACAATTAAAAATTCACTGGGAGGGCAGCCCGGGTGGCTCAGCGGTTTAGCGCCGCCTTCAGCCCAGGGTGTGATTCTGGGGACCTGGGATCGAGTCCCATGTCGGGTTCCCTGCATGGAGACTGCTTCTCCCTCGGCCTGTGTCTCTGCCTCTCTTTCTCTGTGTCTCTCACGAATAAATAAATAAAACCTTAAAAAAATTCACTTGGGAAGTACCTATGAACATAGATGCTAAAATGTAAAAATAGGAGCCTTCTGTTTAGATAAAATCATTTCCTAATTTGACCTTTCAATTTCAGGCTCAAGTTAACACATCTGTTTGGAGCGTCTGGCCCTTGAGGCCAAAGAGGAGCGGTTATCTTTTCTGTTGTCTGGAGCCCCAGTGCCAGGAATGCCAGTGTTCCCTTTTTAGAAAAGGCAGCTGCTAGTTTCCAGCCTGTTCTAGCCACTCGGACTCCAGTGACAACCATGGAGGGTGACGAAGGGAGGCAGGTGGAGCCAAAGACCCAGGTCAGGAAGGCTCCCCAGTAACTAGGGGAGAGGAGTAACAGCAGGGCACAGAGACACTTCTAGGCTTACCTACAGTAAGAAGTGGGCTGGACAGAGCAAGAAATTCATCCTGCACTGCAAAGGCCTTTGTGATTGGAGGCTACAGAATTCTCGTCTTACCTGTCATGGTGGTCGATTATTTAATTCAAGATATTAACAACTATCTTTTGAGTCCCTCCAAAACGCAAATGGTTGTGCCAGCTCCCAGGGATAAATACAAAGACAAGTAAGACACAGTTCTTATTTTCAGTAGAAATCACAAGTGTTTGCAATGTTTTTTTTTTCCCCAGAACCCACTAGTTGCTTCCCTAATTTCCAGCTACCCAGTCATTCCCTATTTTCTTTGGGGCAGAAAGTAAATGCTGCTACCTGATGCCCAAGGCCCCCCCAGAGCCAATTCCAGTGTCTTTTCCAACCCCTCCTGCTTATGCTTGGCATGTTGGTGTATGGTAAACAGGCCATGCCACCATATTCTCTTTCAACTCAGCATCTGGCCCACTCATTCTTCACAATTTACCTAAAGTGTCACCTTCTCCAGGACATACCTTGTAACTTCTCTGCTTTTGCCCAGGGCTGTGTTAGAGGCTCCTCTTCTGTACTTCCTTGGTGCTTATCACTGTCCCAGTCTTCTTGAAAGACTCAACTAGGTTCTCTGTTTATCTCTACCGTATGCCATAGTCCTGGTACACAGCAGACACATAATTTATAATGGCTTAGTGGATGAATGAGATCATCTCCTTTGTTGTCCTTAATTTGCACATCATCAACTGCCCATTTTTATAATTCCAACCTTCATTTCCCCCACTGTTCCTTATCAACTCTCTTTCCAGAATGCTGTCAGAAGGGTATCTCAGTGGACTTGCCTACCAGAATGACATCCACTGGAGCTGTTCATCTTATAATGAGCAGGTGGCTGAGAAGGAAGAAGAGACAACATCTGCGACTCATTCCTACTGTTCTGTGGATGAAACCCAAGTCCGAAGTCTGTATGTGAGCTGCAAATCCTCGGACAAATTTATTTCTTCAGTGCATTCAAGAGAGAGCCAACACAGTAGAGATCAGAGAACCATAATGCTGCAGACAAACCCCAATCCCGTGTTTGAAAGTCCCACCTTGGCTGCAGTTGAAATATGTAGAGACTCCAGTCGAGAGACCTACTTGGTTCCACCTTCCTGCAAAAGTATTTGCAAGAATTATAATGACTTACATATTGCAGGGGACCAGGTGATGGCTATTAACTCAGTGACAACAGATTTTCCCCCAGAGAGCAGTTTTGAATATGGCCCTTTGCTGAAATCATCTGAGATTCCTTTGCCCATGGAGGATTCCATTTCCCCTCAGCCCAGCTACTTTCCCCAAAAACCTATCCAGCAGTATTCGTCCTACTGGAGAATAACCAGCATCAAAGAGAAGAGCAGCCTGCAAATGCAGAAGCCTATTTCTAATGCAGTCCTGAATGAATACCTGGAGCAGAAGGTGGAAGAGTTATATAAGCAGTACATTATGGACACCGAATTTCATGACAGTTCTCCCACCCAGATTTTGGCATCGGAACTCATCATGACAAATGTGGATCAAATTAGTCTCCAAGTGTCTAGAGAGAAGAATCTGGAGACGTCCAAAGCCAAAGATATAGTCATTAACTGTCTATTACAGTTGGTATCCAGTGAAATCAGCACACCTAGTCTCCATATTTCTCAGTACAGCAACGTCAATCCTTAGGGAGGATACCTCTCTCTCAACTACTCCACACTAAAGCTACACTTTCTTCACTGAGAAATGTGCCGGAGGTGGGTGTGAAGCAGAGTCCGGAGCTGGAGAGGTAAAGTTTGGATGGAGGACAGGTATGAATGAAGAGGAAATTGTACTATTACACATGATGAAGGCATGTGGAAAAAGGAGCTATAAGGACTAATTTCAAAGCAAAGGTTGTACAACAACAAAACAAAAAATGAAAATGAGCCAAAAAGAAAAAGTAGGATTCATTTAAAAGAGTACACAAGTTTAAAAAGAAGCCAAGCCAAGCAAGAACCCACACCATGGGAAAATAAAAAGCCAAAAGGTTTAAGCGTAATGAGTCACTGTTTGTGAAGCAAATAAATTCTTCCAAGTTGCTTCTTCTTGAGAAGAATGGACTGTATGTAGAAGGGTGCTGTTTGGGTAGAAAGACCAGTTTAAACAGTTTTGAAATTATGTTTCTATTTCTTTTCTCTATTCTTTATCAGATCGTTTAAAATATATATTCTTTATAAACATTCCAACAGTAGCAAATTGTAATCGTGGTTTTTTTGAATGATTAGCTACCGCCACACTAACCTCCTAGTTCTGTTCACTAGTGAAGTTTTCTGAACAGAAAACACATAGTGAATTTTTTTATAAGATCTTATTTTTAAGTAACCTTTCCACTCAACTTGGGGCTTGAATTTACAACCCTGAGATTAAGACTCGAGTGCTCTTCCGACCAAGCCAGTCAGGTGCTCTTCACCTTGTGAATACTAAAATGAATCCTTTTATTTTGCTATGTACAATTTTCTTGGTGGCATTAAGCTTCAAATGCAGTTACAAATGTTAATCCCCCCCATCGTCTTTTTCTCCACTTTCTCTTGACCCTTCTGGAGCCAGGAAGGGGTCTTCCGCATCCTCCTAAACAAGGTTATGAGCTTCTAGGGTCCCATCATAGCAAATTCTGGCAACTCATGCTCTGCAGTGGAAGTTTCAGGAATACCTCACTGCTCTACCCCCTTCTTCTGGCTTATGGGATGGCAAAACATGGCTCATTGGCCTTATCTAGCCTGCTGCCTATTTTTTTTTTAAATTATGATATAATTGACCTATAACGTTACATTAGTTTCAGGCATATAACCTGAGTCACTGTATCTATTGCAAAATGATCACAATAAATCTAGTTATACCCTTTTTGACCCCCCATGAGCTCAGAATTTCTTCCATCATTTAAAAATGGAAAAACCAAAGGATATTTGACAGGTGGAAAATATTCAGATTCAGTGTCCATAATATAAGGCTTTATTGTAATTCAGCCACACCCATTCGTTTATGTATTGTCCCGGGCTGCTTTCACATAGAATGGCAGAGTTGAGTAAATGTGACAGAGAACATATGGCCTGCTGGAATCTCAAACACTATCTGTTCTCCTTTTTAAAAAGATTTTTATTTATTTATTCATGAGAGACCCAGAGAGAGAGGCAGAGACATAGGCAAGAGGGAGAAGCAGGCTCCATGCAGGGAGCCCGATGCAGGACTCAATCCTGGGACCCCGGGATCATGACCTGAGCCGAAGGCAGATGCTCAACCTCTGAGCCACCCAGGTGCCCCACTATCTGCCCTCTTATGAAGAAAGTTTGCCAACCCTGTTTCCCGATAGTGCCTTGCCCATACGAGGGTTACTGGACTTAACTGAGCTTCCCTGGGAAGGTGATGGAGACAGAGCCTGGGGAGGCAGCTTCCTGGGGAGTGAGGAAACAGAAAGGGTTTCTACAGAGGCCTCAGGCCATCTCAGGAAGCTCTAGAGCTGGGATGGCCCTTCAAAATGGATCCAAATTAATATTAAAGAGTTGGCTGTGGTTCTCTAACTCGACCAGAAAGGGGGCGTAGCTTGAGCTGAGGCAGTTCAGTTCAGGGCAAAATTCCCCAAGCCAGAGGAAGTTGCTGGAGGAATGAGCCACTCAATACAGAAGCAGCAATCTGGGTGGAGCAAAACAGCATCTCCTACATTTCTCAGTGCTTATTTTTATAATTTTTTACAACATGATAATGAGTAAAGGAAAATTGGTTTTGAAATGATTATTCAGTTATTTTTTTCAGTTTTAAATTTATTGGAACAATAGCTGCTATTTATTAATTGCTTGGTATTTGTCTGGCACCATGTTAACTATTTTGCACGAATTATCTTATAGGATTCTCATAACCTATGAGAGCAAATGCCTGTTATTATTTTTTAAGAGATGAGCCAGCTGGGTTCAGGGAAGTTAATTTGTGGAAGGGCAAACAATGGGTGGTGAATCTGGACTTGAATCCAGTTCTATTGAAATTCCAAGTCCTGGTCCTTAAGTACTACCAGCTGCTTTCCTGTTGACCACCATGTTTTTTCTCATTAAAGACTGGTTTTCCCCTCCAAGAGGAAAGAATTCATTAATCCCTTTACCATTACTCTACATCATTTTTTTCCTTCAGTGTCTTGCTTGATAATACTGGTAGATCTTCACCCTCACCCAAGAACATAAGCTTTGATCTACCCATTTGTTTCTCCACATCTTAAACAGTATTTATACATACGAGGCACCCAATTAATGTATGTCAAATGGATACATTTGGCTGTGTTTGGATACCACATCTGGTGGTTGAAGTAAAAGACCACCAGTATGAAAACCAACTACTTCTGACTAGAAACAAATGCTATTGAGAGTTCCTCCTCAGGGAGAAAAAGAACTGAATAAATGAGCTTAATATCTTCTAACATGTTAGTATAATAAAGTACATTATAATAACATATTATGGATATTATTCCTTTTGCTTATTTACTAAGAAATAATGAATTACAGAAGAGACTGGTTCATCTTTTCCAGTGAGCATTAATTTGATGCTATTCTTTTTTTGGGGGGGTGTTGGAGTACTGTGCATTAAACATAAGTAGGGAAGGCACACGTATGTGTGCACACACACAGGGAGGAGTAAGCCCTGTTCTCTGCCAGCTTACTTGATTGGTGGAGAGACCTAGCAAATAACTAGTTAGCATATGACAAAGCCACTTACTAAGAACTTGGCAAAGTGGCACAAACAGGAATACGATTCTCGACGATTGCAACTCAAGTGTGACATGGGTTAAAAGCAGACAGGTTTGGAGGTGGTGGGCAGTGGGGGAGCCTAGCGCAGGCCAAGATACTAAAAGGAAGTGATAGTTTAAATGACTCTTGAAGAGCAAGCAAGATAGGATCTGGGTAGATGAGTGGGAGAGGGGTCTCATGCACAGGCGTCAGTATGTTTGGGGCCATAGGGAACTGTGAGTCCATGGCTACAACCAGAGCTGCATGGATGCATGAACAGGCGATGTGCTATGGCTCATGTAACAAATCACCACAAAACTAGTGGCTTAAAATAAAACAAACTCATTATCTTAGGGTGATGGAGGTCAAAAGTCGAAAATGATCCCACTGGGCTAAAATCAAGGTGTTGGTAAGGCCACCAGCGTTCCTTTCGGGGGGTTATAGAGGAGAATCAGTTTGCTTCCCTTTATACAGCTTCTAGAAGTTGCCCACACTCCTGGGCTTCTTTGCTGTGCATTACCACAGCCAGCAATAGGACTTTGCCAGCTCCGCCCCTCCTGCTTCTCTTTTATTCTATTTTTAAAAAAAGATTTATTCATTTGCAAGAGAGAGAGAGAGAGAGAGAGAGAGAGAGAGAGAGAGAGAAGCAGGCTCCCCACAAGGAGCCAGATGCAGGACTCAATCCCAGAACCCCGGGATCATGACCTGAGCCAAAGGCAGATGCTCAACCGCTGAGCCGCCCAGGCGTCCCTCTTGCTCCCCTTTTATAAGGGACCCTTATGATTCCATTGGGCCCACCAGGGTAATTGATGCTAACGTGCTCACCTCAAGATTCTTCAAGTAATCACACCTGCTAAGTTCCTTTTACCTTTTAAGGTAACATATTCACAGATTCCAGCAATCAAGATATGAATACTTGCTAGGGCATGAGGGGGGATGGACAGTATCCTGTCTACCACAGAAAGGGCCACTTGTTCCTCCTGACTGTCAGAAATTTGCCTGTCCACTATTATTCTTATTAGAGATGAATAAGTCCATGCTTGCTTATATATTAAAATAGTTGGTTTCCTGCTGTCATCCCATGCTGTATATTTTTATTTGTCCATATGCATTAACCCATTTTTTCTTGTGCTCATGTTAGACATCCTTTTTCTTGGTTCTAAGTCTATTTTTATATTTCTTTTATTTATTTTTAAAGATTTTATTTATTTATTTGATAGAACGAGCGAGCACAAGCAGGGGGAGGAGCAGAGGGAGGAGCTGTCTCCCCGCTGAGCAGGCTGTCCTATGTGACGCTGGATCCCAGGACCCCAGGATCATGACCTGAGCCGAAGGCAGATGCTTAACCAACTGAGCCACTCAGGCGCCTTTAACCTTTCTTCTAAATTATGTTTCTTTTGCTCATTATAAGTGTGGTATCGGCTCACTCTAGAAAATCTGAATACCAACAAAGCAGAAAGTTGAAGTCCTCAGTCCCCAAATATTCAGGTAACATTTTGAATGAATCTTTTTCCGGTCTTTTCTCCAAAAGTATGGAATTATGATTAACATACAGTGTTACATTAGTTTTAGGTACACAATATAATATGATCACTGTTCAGTGATCATGTTATCTTTGAATAAATATTATATCTTGGTTTGTTTGTTTGTTCCACTGACGCTGTAACAGAGATAGAAGTTCTAAAACTAGTAGATTTGTAATGTTTGCCTGGGGATAATTTATTAGTTTTTCTTCCTTCCTCACACACTATTTGATAATGTCCAATATTTTGTGGACATTTTGGTCTGTTATAGAGCATTGGGCCAGTAGATTCAGGAAAGTGTCTATGTTAACGATAAGGACTCTCTCTGAGTTTTAACTGTTAACCTAAAGTTTGACACTCAATAAATAGAAATTAGATTATTTGCCTTTTTATATTGTTTTTGTCCACACTGAAAATCACCTGCGAGACTTTAAAGTGAGTAAATACTCACTTTAAATTCAAAGAAATCCAACAAATATTTATTCGGCATGAACTATTATACAAAGATGAGGTTGACACGGTCCCCATTTAAAGAGCTTATTTATGTGGTACAAAATTATCAAGTAACTCACACTAGTGTGGTAAGACCTTTGCAGTGACAATTTAAGATATGTTGAAAAACTCCCTTCAATTTATCCCAATTCAACATCTGCAGTCCCTGACCATATCTTATTTATTTTCTTACTTTTTGACCCTCATCCCTTATTAGAGGGCTATGACTAGAACCTTCTCTACTCAACACACTGAGAAGCAGGAAAGGGATAGGGATGGAGTACCTCTGTATGGACTTGAGTAATAAACCCTGGTTTTGACTTTGACTTGGTCTTAATCTCAGAGGTGGCATGATGTGTGGCTAAGGCATGGTTGGGACTGAAACCTCTCCCCCTCCT